AGAAACCAAGCGGAGGCTCGGGGACCGCTTTGCAGAACACCTACGCTCGGTTCGCAATAAACAACTGCACCTCCCAGTCGCGAACCATTTCAACTCCCCCTCCCATTCCTCAGATGACATGTCCATCCTGGGCCTCCTGCAGTGCCACAACGATGCCACCCGAAGGTTGCAGGAACAGCAACTCATATTCCGCTTGGGAACCCTGCAGCCCATTGGTATCAATGTGGATTTCACAAGCTTCAAAATCTCCCCTCCCCCTACCGCATCCCAAAACCAGCCCAGCTCGTCCCCGCCTCCCTAATCTGTTCTTCCTCCCACCTATCCCCTCCTCCCACTTCAAGCCGCACCCCCATCTCCTACCTACTAACCTCATCCCGCCCCCTTGACCTGTCTGTCCTCCCTGGACTGACCTATCCCCTCCCTACCTCCCCACCTACACTCGCCTTTACTGGCTCCATCCCCGCCTCTTCGACCTGTCTGTTTCCTCTCCACCTATCCTCTCCTCTATCCATCTTCTATCTGCCTTCCCCTCTCTCCCTATTTATTTCAGAACCCCCTTCCCCTCCCCCATATCTGATGAAGGGTCTAGGCCCAAAACGTCAGCCTTTCTGCTCCTATGATGCTGCTTGGCCTGCTGTGTTCATCCAGCTCTGCACCTTGTTGCTGGCATAGGTTCCTTGATTTCCTCAGAAAAGTACATAAATTTCAGGTTCCTATCGGGAACATCCATTTTTCCTGGAAATGGTAACCTTGACAAAACATCTGCTTCTTTCACTGTCAGTATCTGATTTTGTATGAGTAGACTGACAGAGCCAGTGCTGATCTCGGCAGGCGTGCTGCAGTCATTGATGGTATCCCAGTATATGGGCCAAAAATTAAGGTTAGTGGCCTGCGGTCTGTCAGCAACACAATGTGCCTGCGTAAAGGAAATGAGTGAACTTCTTAACACCAAACGCTGTGCCCAATCTTTATTTTTTCCATTTGGGCATCCTTCTCCTCCATCTTTGTTAGTGACCTTGATACAAACACAATGGGCCTTTCCTCTTCCTTTGGCAAGATGTGTGACAGTACAGCCCCAACCACATAAGGCGAGGAATTGTCCACCAACTGCAATGGCAACTTCAGGTCAAAATGAGTGAACATACCTCTTTAGAGCTTGCTTCACTTCCTGGCAAGCCTTCTTACATTCCTGGGTGCATTGCACAGCCGCCCTTTCCTCAGCACCTGTTACAGGGGATTTAGTATGGTTGCCAGATCAGACACAAACTTGCTATAACAATTTACAAGTTTCAAGAACAATCTCAGTTGAAACACATTCTCTGGTCTAGGAGCCTTCATGATAGCCTCCACCTTCATGGGTGCCTTGTGTAGTCCCTCATCATTGATTGAGGCACAGGTACTCTGTGGAGTCTTTTAAAAAACTTGCATTCCTCTCCTTTTGCTTATAGACCTTGTTCTTGCAACTTTTTTTTAGTATTTTCTTCTAGGTTTTTCAAATGCTGCACTTCAGAGGATCCAGTAAGTAAGATGTCATCTAGATAAACATGGCAATCCACTCAAAATTTGCTCTGGAGATAGACCTGGTGCTGATGTGATGCCAGAAGGAAGTCACTTGTAGTGGAACAGTTCCCAGTGTGTCACTATCATCATTGACGGCTGGGACTCCTTCACGGCCCATGCCTGCAAGGATCCTTTTTTGATAATTGTTTTCCCCCACACCATCAATGAGTGGAAGTGAGTATTGATCTGCACGCAGGGCTGGGTTGACTGTGATGTTAACATCTCTACACATCTTCACTGCAGCATCTGTTTTTAAGACAGGAACAATTGGAGTTCCCCATTCACAGGTAGTTGCTGGCTCTAATTGTCCCCGGTTCACCAGCCATTCCAGTTCTGCCTCTGCTGTATGCCATATGGTACTGGTCGCGCCTTCAAACGCCTTGGAAGAGTCTCCTGCTTCAAGCAAAGCTTAATTTCTACTCCTTTTCATTTTCCACAGTATTCCCTTGAAGACATCTTTCTGCCAAAATCGCTTGCAAACTCTTTTTTTTAAGTCTGCAAGCCTCTTAACCATGCCCCAATTTAAGTTGAATTTCTATAACCAGGAGCATCCAAGTAATGCGGGGTAATTGCCTTTTGCAAAATACAGAGGCAGTTCCGCACTGGTCCCTTTAGTTGTATGTTCACCAGTTCATAGCCCTTCAGTGGTACCACTTTTTCCGTGTATGTCCACAGTGTAATCTTGATAGGCTTCAATAGCAGTGCCTTTAACTTTTTCCTATATATTGGTTCAGGAATCAGAGACACCATTGCACCCATATCCATTTTCTTCTTTACAGTCTTCCCCTCTAATTTGGGAAGGACCCAGAAACAATCAGCTTCAGTCTGCACCAACAGGTTGTTCAACCAAAACTCTGCTGACTCTGGGCCTTCTGCTTCTCCTGCAAACCCAGCTGTCTGGTAACTCCCTGGCTGGCGGCATGTACCTTTATGTCTTGTCCTCTGAATTGTCTTTAGGCACCCTTTCTCTTGTTTGAGTTGTAGCCGGCAATTTCAGACCAAGTGGCTCACTTGTTTATACCTGGGCTTCTCAAGTCCAACATGTTCATTCTTTGTGGCCACTCTTGTCACATCGGTGGCATTCTACGGCTGGTACTGCGCTCTATTGATTTTCCACTACATTATGTACCAGGATGTTATCATTCAACTGGGTAGCTTCACCAGCAGCCAAATCCATTGAGGTAGCAATTTTGAAAGCCTTAAAATCCAGGTCTCTCCTTGTTAGTAGTTTCCAAATTCGCAATGTTCTGCCAGCTTATTTCAGGTGACCACAAATTGGCCAATGGACTGTCCTTCATGCTGTACCCACTTATAAAAACCACAATGTGCCAAGATAGTCAGTGGCTTTGGCGCAAAACTCCCCAGCACTTCATGAAGTTCTTGATATGTCTTCTTCTCTGGTTTCTGTAGTGGCACCAGACTCCTTAGAATCATGAAGGTCTCGCTTCCAATGGTACTCAAGAAAAATAGTACCATTATGTCTTCAGCCACTTTCCTTATAAATACACATTAAATTGTTTGGTGCACAGAATCCAATTTTTTATCTCCTCATCAAACATCCCATCACTCCAAATTGGCCCCCCAGTTTGTTTCCCCCCAGCAGGAATTTTTTCTCCCATTCAATTCTAGTAGCTGTTTGCAGCCTGAGACCCCTTTGGTGAATTCCCTCTGCCCAGTCCCTCCCTCACCAACTGTTAGCATGGTTGTGTCTCCCGGCATTTGTCCATGTACTCTAGCAAGCTTTCTCCATGTCAACTTCAGTAAGCTCCTGGGTGAGTGCTCCCCTCTTTGCCCGTTGACTGTGGCCTGAGTCCCCTTATGACCACTCCCTCGACGTTATTCCACAATCCCATGCTGTTTTCAAATATGGGCAACATCCTTCCTTCCAACAAGAAAAAACAGTGTTGGCACAGTTTGTGGGCCAGATGCCACACTCTTCCTCAGTTGCTATGTTTATTGTTCACTAGAACCATAAATAGAACACAAGGTAGACAGAGGATAAACTTGAACAGGGAATACTTTATTGTAGGTGTTTCAACTCCACAGTCAGTTTTTATATTGCATTTTCTAGTTCCTGCCTCTGGGTCACCTGACATGCTCTCTAAAAGAGCAACACACACCTAACTTTATACATAACAGTTCTGAAGTCAGAATTAGAAATGGAGAATTACTCCAAATGAAATCTTGACACCAGTTAAAGACCGGAGAAGTGTACATCAGATTCTGGCTTCTTTTTTGTTTAGAGTTATGCAAAAGTTTGAAAGTGTGAATCTGGATCAATGATTGTGACATTGGAAAACTATATCTAAAATATTGTACAGTATAGGTACAAGTAGCTCTGAGTTAGATTTCTGGTTTAATTACTGAGAATTGAATGGCAAAGCAGGAGCCGAATATTCTGCTCCTGTTCCTATTTCTTCTTTACCTACAATTGCTGCTTTCAGTGAATTGTGTATTCCCATAGAAACCTATGTTAAAACTGGAATCGAGTTCCTTTATTAATAAAAACATTAACTCTGCTTTCTGTCAATAGATCCTGCCAGACCTGCAGAAATTCCAACAGTTTCTGATTTTGTTTCTGATTTCCAGTATCTGGAGTTCTTTGGATTTTTTTGTGTTCCTTTTGTTTTTCTTTGCAAGAAAATGCCTGATGTAGAAGTTGAAATACTGTACTTTGTGTTTAACACTGTTCCTAGCTAAAATATTTTGCAGAATAAATTAAATCACTGGGTTATATCAAATAGTGTATTTTTTTTTATAAATTCAGACTTTAACATTGTCTCATGCTCTCTCCCCTTTCTCATTCTTCCATTGGCTAAAATGTGCAAATATATACAATTATTTAGATGAGTAAATTATGTTCCCTTTGGAGTGGCTGTTGGTAGTGTAAACAAATCTGGAGTTTTAAAACCTTAGTTTGAAAATGCAGCAATTGAGAAGCATGGGAAGAGGGAACACAGTAAGTAACTAAGTTCTCAAGGCACTGATTGGGTCCTGATGTCTGAAGATATTGATTCAGTAACACGGAACACATGACATAAAATCAGAATTGCTAATGTATTCCAGCACAGTAGTAATACAAAAAACTAACGTAACTCTAAGGAGAAGGTCTTAAAAATAAAGCAACATCTGAAGGGAATGTCATTAAATCAAGCGATGTTAGATGCAGACTACCTTTATAATCTTATAATAAAATGTGTCTTTATGACCTTGTCAGGAGTAATTTGGAAGTATCAGCAGTCTGTGCCTTTAACATGTCCACTGTGGAAGATGTTTTCTCTAAAGGGAAATATATGCAGAGTGCTACATTTGAACAGTCCCATGTAAAATGGGTCAGATACAATGGACAAGTTCCAAAACCTCGCCCTGGCTCAGTAAGTATTTAGAACCATTCTGTTATCATTTTTTGGTTCTTTTAAGTGAAATTCAAAGTCTGCTAGTTTGATATGACCATTTTTAGATCACCTATTCTTCGTCAATAATGACCATGAATTTACAATTTGCTGGTTTAAATCTTTCTAAATCCAGTTTAATGGTGATTTGTGTGGCTTGGTTATTTGGATGTAGAACTTCTTAAAAAGTTCTCGGCTTATGAATTCTGCAGCCTACGAAAAGCTGGATTTGCTGGTGAAACCTCGTTAACACTGTTCTGAAGGGATCAACAATATAACTAATTCATAATTATGTGCAGGCAATGGATACTTTGATATTAGGAACAAAAACAGAAGTTGCTGTAAAAATTCAGCAGGTCTGGCAGCATCTGTGAAGAAAAAAAACCAGAGTTAATATTTCAGGTCCGGTGATTCTTCGTCAGAATTAGGGAAGGGCCACTGGACCTGAAACGTTAACTCTGATTTTTTTTTTTCTTCACAGATACTGCCACACCTGCTGAGCTTTTCCAGCAACTTCTATTTCTGATCCTGATTTAAAGCATTTGCAGTTCTTTCAGTTTTTCTTTGATACTTTGATATTGTTTGGTTGCTAATATAGATGTATCTCTAAAGTGGATGCTTTACCAAAAATTACGGGAATGCAATGTCGGGAAATAAAATATTCTAATGTTAAAACCATTTTTTAAACATTTCATTGGCTGGGAGCCCAGAAAGTACTAGTCAACTCTGCTGACTTCTCACTGAATTGAAAAGTAAGTTGTGCTTGTTTGAATACTGGGTGTGAGTGTAATTTTCATTATTCAAATTCTTTATCCCTTTTCTAGTGTATAAACAATGAAGCGAGAGCTTTGAATATCAACAGCTCACTGATGTTACCTGACAAAACTCTTCAGTTTGTGAAGGATCACCCTCTGATGGCAGACCCAGTGAATCCTATAGGAAATAGACCAAAATTGGTGAAGAAGAATACAAACTATATACAGATTGTTGTGGACAGAGTTAGGGCACTTGATAACAACCTCTATGATGTCATGTTTGTGGGTACAGGTAGGTTTTTGTAGCAATTTTTAGTACAGGGAATCACTTACATGCTATGTTAAGGACAGGAAACAGTTTTGGCATAAATTGGTCATTAGGAAATTTAGCAACCATATTGTATGTCATTTTTATAAATTGTAAAATGTTGAGGCCCCAGCTCTGATCCCTCTGGCACATTACTTGTAACATCTTGCCAACTAGAAAATGACCCGTTTATGCCAACACTGTTTCCTGTACTTACCCAATCTTCTACCCATGCTCATGTTACCCACTATCCTTTTAGTTGTTATTTGCTTTTATTTTCCATAATTACCTTTGATGTGATACCTTATCAATTACCTTCTGGAAATCCTAGTACAGTATATCTACCAGTTCCCCTTTATCTACAGCACTTTACTTCCTCAGAGAACTCCAATTAATTGTTTAAACATCACTTCCCTTCAACAAAACCATGTTGACTCTGCCTGATTATCAAGGTTTTTTAATCCCCTTACAATAGCGTTTTTAATAATAATTTCTAACATCTTCCAAATGACTGACGGAAAGCAGTTAGTTTAACATGTCATTTCCTTTTTGAATGAAGAAGTTATAGTTGCTGTTTTCCAATTTATTGGTGCCTTACCCAAATGTGTGGAATTTTGGAAAATTAAAACCAATGATTCAACTATCTCACTCACTCACTTCTTTTAAAACCATAGGATAAATTCCAGGATTCGAGGGCTTTTCGGCTCATAGATCCAGCAATTTGCTCGGTATCTATTTTCCTTATTGTTTGTAATTTTCAAGTTTGATACCTGGCTTTTACTTTTTTTAGTCAATTATGGGTGGTGGGTCCTCCTTTTGGAATTCTTTCTTTTGTTCTAAAATATTAGAAGTAAAGTGATTGCTATTGCATCTTTATTAACCTATTTGTTAGCCTAAGTTACCAGTTCACTCTTTAGCTATCATTGTTTTCATAAACCCACTCTTCTCTCCCTTAAACTTGAAAGTAAAATTCACATTATGGTTGCGGCTACCTACGGATGCTTCTGTATGAAATCATTAATGAATCCTAGATTACTTTTGACCATCTGAGTTTTAATCTATATGTTTTTAATATGCTGTCATATTACTTCCTGATTTCTTGAACTGACATCATCCATCTCTATTGTGCCAATGCCATTGTTAATTAACAAACCCACCCCTTCACCTTTTCCTAGCTTCCGGTCTTCCTAACTATCATGTAGTCTTCAATATTCAGGTCCTAATCTACGTTATCATGCAAACATTTCTCTGTAAAGGCTATCAGATCATAGTGCAAATAGAAATTAATGACTATCAGTTAGTTTTCTTTGTTTTGTATGCTACGTGCATTCAGCTAAGCAGCATTTGGTATTGCCCTTTTTATTCCTTTTGACCTCTAGCCTCAACTGCTGGCTTACTGTTTGATCTATGGTCTTTATCCTTTTCTGTCACATATTAATAGCTTTCTCTCTGGCCTTTACTGTATTCTGATTTCCTACTACTTCTCAAATTTGACTCCTTGTTCCTTACTTTCCCAAATATGTGGTTCACAAGAACACCAACCCCCACACACTTCAGATGGTGCCAGGACTGGTGCCAATGCCCCATGAATGGGAGCCCATCTCTGTTGCACCAGTCTTTAAACCACACTTGAATTTCTTTTTTCCTTATGCCACTTTGCAGGTGACTCCGGCAGTACTCCACAGATTATAACCGTTTTGAGGTTCTGATTCTTAATTTGCTGTCCAGCCTCTCATACTGACTATGCAGAACCTCTGTCCTGGTCTTGCCTATGTTGTTGATACAAGGGTACTGGATCCTCCCCCTTCCATTGTAAATTCCTCTTGAGCCCTGAGCAAATGTCCCAAACACTGGCACTGGGCAGATACTACAGGCTATAGTGAATGGTATTAAACCCTCTGGCTTTACTACTACTGCATTCCTTTTTGTTTCTCTGACTTGATTGGCTTTCTGTACCACAGTGCCAAACCCAGTTATCTTATCCACCTAATGGGCCTCAATCTCATTCAAACAAGCTGAACGAATTGCTGTTGGGCATTTGAAAAGGCTGAATTCCTGCAAACCTGCTTCCGGCTCACTATTCCAGCTCATGCAAAGTCGCATCCTCCTTTCCCTGACACCTGAGCAAACACAGTCCTGAGAGTTGTCTGCTTTTTTGGGATAAATTGTCCAGGTAACTTTCCTCTCCCTGATGTGTGCCAGTGCCTCTACTTCCAGCTTTTAAAATCTGAATTGAACAGCTCAAGTTGAGTTCTGTGCTTGCCCATTCTAGCCTTCAAAGTTCTGAAATTCCTTTTTGAAAACCCTAGTTCTCCCATTTAAAAAAAAAACTGAAAACTGATCTCTTCTTGGTGTCAAATTTGCATCGCTCCAATATTACCATTCGGTCTTGTGACAATGCTACCAACTTAATGTGAATTAATTTGTGATTGCTTTTTTTTTTAAAGTTTATTTTGTTACTGTTAGGCTCATAAATTTGCAAATAAGGTTATCTCTTTATTTATTGCAGTCACGTGTAGCTAAATATGGTGAAAAGTTTTGTTTTGCAAGCAGTACAGGCAGATCATAGCAAACAGGGATGTACGGATAATAGGGTGCTTGGAATGAGGCATACAGTTACAACTGCACAAGAGATTCGCAAAGCAAGATCAACACTAACAAGATCAACATTGTTTGAAGTTAGAGAGTCCATTCAGCTGTCTAACAACAGCAAGGACGAAGTTGTTCATGCACCAACAGGTTCAAGTATTCAAGCTTCTGAATCTTCTGCCTGATGAAGAGAGCATTACTCGGGTGGAAGGGGTCTTTGATGATGTTGGCAGCCTTTCTGTGGAACGAGAAGTGTAAATGGAGACCATAGACGGGAGGTTGGCTTCCGTGGTGGTCTGGGCTATGCATACAACTTTCTGTAGTTTCTTATGGTCCTCAGCAGAGCAGTTTCAGTACCAAGCCATTATGCACCCAGATAGAATGCTTTCTGTGATACATCTGTATCAGTTGGTGAGGGTCCTTATGGACATGTCGAATTTCTTGAGGCATCATTGTGCCTTCTTGACCGTCATATCTACGTGGCAGGTCCAGGGCAAATTGTTAATTATCGTCACTCCCAGGAACTTAATACTCTTGACCCTCTCTACCTCAGCTCTGTTGATGTAGATAGGGGTATGTCCTCCTCCTTTCTTTCTGAAGTCAATGTCAGTTCATTTGTTTTGCTGACATTGAGAGAGAGATTGTTATCATTGCACTGTGACACCAAGCACTGTATCCCCTTCCTGTATTCTGACTCATCATTGTTTGATATCCTAACTACCACAGTGGTGTCACCAGCAAACTTGTAGATGGTGTTCTTACAGAATTTGGCTACACAGTTGTGGGTGCTCGGAGTACCGAAGGGGGCTGAGTACGCATCGTTGTGGGGCGTCGGTGTAAACTATAGACAACGGAAATTACAGGAAGCCATGGGTAGTGACCAAAAAAGGCATTGGATGATGCATAGAAAAATTTAGTTTTCTTATCTTTAGATGAATAATAGTTCCTTATCACCTCTCTAAAATCATCTGGGATTGAATAATGTTCATATTTACTCACTAAGCTATTCAAGTAACAGTTAATTCAGTTTCAAATTCGTCTTTGTCGCTGCCCATCCTTCTGGACGATCTAGGGTTTCTGTTGTAAATGTTGTATTTTAATTTCGTGTTTCTCCTCAAATAATGAAAAATATTACCTTAATCGGTGCAAAAATATTGCAGAATATACGGTTTTATTGGAGAGCAAGATAAATTTTGACCTATTGCTGTGCTTTAAAGAAACACTTGAGCATTCAGCCAAGTTAACCATAGAACCATAGTTTACACGATAGAAGTTGAAATGCCAATTGAACTAGAATCTGAATAAATGAAAAACCAATTTCTCTGTCATCACTGACATTATTGCTGTTGGTGCTGGTTAAGAAATAGATCTCACTATTATCCATTTACACGCTTTAAGACAGGTTTCTACATGAGCTTCCCAGAGTATTTTGATTTTTTTTAAAAATTCATTTATTGTAGTCACATGTACCTAAGTACAGTGAAAAGTTTTGGGTGCTTAGACAGAGTGAGGCATACAAGGTTAGAGCTGCACAGGAGGTGCACAGAGCAAGATCAACATTAGATTTGAAATTGGAGAGGTCCATTCAACAGCCTAATAACAGCAGGGAAGAAGCTATTCATGAACCTGTAGTGCATGTATTCAAGCTTCTGTGTCTCCTGCCTGACGGAAGAGGTTGGAAGAGAGCATTACCAATGTGGGAGGTGTCTTTGGCCTCCTTTCTGTGGCAGCAAGAAGTATAAATGGAGTCCATGGATGGAAGGTTGGCTTTCATAATGGCTTGGGCTGTGCACACAATGCTTTGCAGTTTCTTACAATCCTGGGTAGAGCAGTTGCTGTACCAGGCCATTATGCACCTGAATAGAATGCTTTCTGTGGTGAATCTATCGAATTTGGTGAAGGCCCTTATGAATATGCCAACTTTCCTACGCCACCTCTGGAAGAAGAAGCATTGTAGTGCCACCTTGACTGTTGCATCTACATGATCAGTCCAGGACAGATTGGCAGTTATTGTCACCTCTAGGAACTTGACACACTCAACCCTCTCCACCTCCACTCTATTGATGTAGGTGGGGACATGTCCTCGTCCTTTCTTCCTGAAGTCAATGATCTGTTCTTTTGTTTTGCCAACATTGAGAGAGAAGCAAGCCAAAAAGCCCAGTTATGGCTTGAACTAGTAATGGCTTGATTGCTGTAGTGGCATGGTCCTCGGACGACTGTCTGTGTGGAGTTTGCACATCTCCCTGTGTCTGTGTGGGTTTCTGCCTTGTGCTCCGATTTGGGGGAATTGGCCGTGCTAAATTGCCCATAGTGTTCAGGGATATGTAGGTTATGTGCATTAGTCATGGGAAATGCAGGATTACAGGGATCTGGTAAGGGGATAGGTCTAGGTAGGATGCTCTTCGGAGGGTTGGTGTGAACTTGTTGGGCCGAATGGCCTCTTTCCACACTGTAAGGATTCTAAGACATGACTCCCTGAAAAGAATGTTATTTATGCATTATGTTTAACAGGAAGATTGGTCCAGCCAATAATCCTGAGGCATAAATAAAAGTTTAAATTGTTTAATGACTTTGTGTGGCCCCTAATCAAAAGTCACCTTCAAATGCAAATATATCTCATAAACTTGTTCTGCTTTAGGTTGCAAATAAAATCTTTGAAAAATTCCCTTCTTAATCTATGTTGACTCCTCCCAATCATATTGTTACTTTGTAAGTGTCAGGTTATCGTATCTGTTGTAATTCTTTCTAATATTTTCCCTGATACTGACATCTAATTAGCAAGTCTTTTTAGTTCTCCATTTCTCTCCTTCTTAAATCGTGGAGTTACAATTTTTACTTTCCAGTCGACAGGGCCTTTTACAGAATCTATAGGATTTTGAAAGCTAACCACCAATGCATCCATATTGCAATGAACACCTCCATCATGGGTGGCACAGTCATTAGCACCACTACCTCAGAGCGCCAGGACCCAGGCTTGATATCAACCTTGGGCAACTATCTGTGGAGTTTGCACATTCTCCCAGTGTCTGTGTGGGTTTCTGCCAGGTAATCTGGTTTCTCCTGTAGTCCAAAGATACGCTGGTTAGGTGGATTGGCCATACTAAATTGCCCCATTGTATCCAGGGATGTGTAGGCTGGAGGCGTTAGCTATGGTTAATGTGGGGTTATGGGGATAAAGTGGAAAGAGGGTCTAGGTGGGATGCTGTTCGGATTATTAGTGCAGACTCGATGGGCCAAATGGCTTGATCTTCACTGTAGGGATTCTGTGATTCTATCAACATCTGAGCCAAGGGATTCAACAACTTTCAATCCAGTTAACATTTGGAGTACTGCTTTATTAATGGTAATTTCTTTCATTGCCACATTTTTACAAGTGCCTTAGTTTGCTAGTATTTCTGGAAGATTTTCTGTATCTTCATCAAGGCAGGTACAAACTTTTATTTTTTGAATTTCGCTGCTCATACAAATTTCCTGTTTCCATCTACAATGATCCCACATTTGTCCTTGCTGATCTTTTCCTTTTTACAAATCTAAAGGATTAGATTAACACTTTTCATGACCTCAATGACTTGAAGTAATCTACAAAATAATTGTTTATGAACTGTAGTACTAATGTAGTAAACTGGAAAAATGCTAACCCAGAGAGGATTAATTAATGTTGCTACCCAGCCTCCCCCAACTCCTGAGTGGACCTGGACAAAAGAAACTGCAGTGATTTTTTTTAAAAGGCCAAGAATACAGAGGGATACATAGTGTGCTAATTCTAATGCTGCAATAGTTAAAATGCAAGGTTTTGTTTACAGATGGTAAAATGGATATTCTAAAACATACGTTTGTTTTTCAGATAAAGGCTTATTGCACAAAGCAATTAACTATGATAATGAAATGCATATAATTGAAGAACTCCAGATTTTCCCTGACTCTGAGCCTGTGCAGACATTACTCTTGTCCAAAGAGGTAGGTGTACTTCATTTTTTATACTTCATTTTTTATATTCCTCCGACAATCATGTAAGTTAGTGAAGGTAATCTGGCACAGTGAAGAACCCGAGTTCCTTGTTTAAGAGCATAATTATGGTGCTGTGTTGCATGGTGAATGATTGATTTCTGTTAGACAAGTATTTTCTTAATAGACCATAATTGGGGCTGCATGGTAGCTCAGCGGTTAGCACTGCTGCCTCACAGCGCCAGGGACCTGGGTTCAATTCTACCCTCGGGCGACTGTCTGTGTGGAGTTTGCACACTCTCCCCGTGTCTGCATTGGTTTTCTCCAGGTGCTCCGGTTTCCTTCCACAGTCCAAGGGTGGATTGGTTATGCTAAATTGCCCATAGTGTTCAGGGATGTGTAGATTAGGGGGATGGGTCTGGGTGGGATGCTCTGAGGTTCGGTGTGGACTTTTTTTTTGGATGAAACTTTCATTGAACATATTCATATCATGTTTCCCTGTCACTTTCAGCTGGACCACTATTGAGAAACTCCACTTTTCTCCATTACATAGAATCAGAATCCCTACAGTGTGGAAACAGGCCCTTTGGCCCAAAAAGTCCACACCAAACCTCAGAGCATCCCACCCAGACCCATCCCCCTATAAACCCACCTAATCTACACATCCCTGAACACTATGGGCAATTTAGCATAACCAATCCACCCTTGGACTGTGGGAGGAAACCGGAGCACCTGGAGAAAACCAATGCAGACACGGGGAGAGTGTGCAAACTCCACACAGACAGTCACCTGAGGGTGGAATCAAACCCAGGTCCCTGGCGCTGTGAGGCAGCAGTGCTAACCACTGAGCTACCGTGCAGCCCCAATTATGGTCTATTAAGAAAATACTTGTCTAACAGAAATCAATCATTCACCATTTGAAATGTTCATTGACCTAGGCTCACCAATTACTGTGAGGGTGTCATTTCAAAAAGATGTGCAGACAACCTCTACCTTTTCTTTAAGAAGAATTGCTTACTGACTTCACTCCTGAATGGCCCAGTTCTTATTTTAATTTTTAAGACGTGCCTCATCTTTTTTCGACTCATTCTTTCCCAACACTTCCAATTCTCTGCATTTCTAAAACTGGTGACTCATGACAAGAGTGTGATTTTATGATCATTTTACCGATATCCCTTCAGTACGAAGCCCCAAATTGCTCTTTTTCAGGAATATGTCATGTAGTGAATATTGATGGATTGTTTATTTCATTGAACTATTGCATCCAAATCAAAACCTGTTTTCCATATCACCAGCATTTTGTGGACATTTATAGTGTTCACACCATCATCTCAGTTGAAATCAACTAATTTAGTGTAGGCTTGTGGTCAAACCTGAAAATTTACTGATCGTTGTAGTACAATGCAATGTACATGTTGAACTATTGGGGTATCCTGACGATCTGTTCTAAAAGATGGGAATTAATATCCTGCCATGTTATGACTGCTATTAGGAAAATCTTGGCATTCAAGCTTTACAATATTGAGAAAAGGATAGAGAATAGTAAATCTACCTACCTTTAGTGCTGGCCAAAGGACATAGATTTGTGCTTCACTGAAGTCTTTCAGATCACAGCCAGTTGTGAACCAGGACCCTATTATAATTCTGACCAATGGAACCAGCCAGGAAGCTGTCATTGGATTAGAATTTTTCTTTCAAATTTAAGTGCTTCCTCTTTCTGTTTCATATTTATTTTTGGAATGTGGTTGACATTACACAAGCCCAATTGCTAACAAAACATTGAGAGTCATCCACATCTTTGAGACTGACAGCACATATGGCCAAATGCAGAAACAATGACAGCTACCCTTCTGTAAAGAACATTGATGACCTAGTTGGTCTTTTTTAACAATCAGGCAGTTACTTTTCTGATGCTACAAATTGCCTGATTTTGTGCATCAAGTTTCATAACTTGCTATGTCAGGATTTCAGTTCAGGACTTCTGTATTGCTGGCCCTGTATTAGCATTCCTTGCATACTGTACTTGTGTTGAAATCTCTGAATCCCACATTGCATAAAACTGGTCCTCTGTTTTTCTTTCTGCATTACTGTCAGCAACATGAGAGTTGTTGCAGTTCCAGTAAGAAATGCTATTATATCTATTTTGTCTCTTAAAATTGTTCATTATAATTTGTGAAGCTTTTCAGTTTTTCTCAAACTGTTGAATTCAAGAGAATGTTAGCTTGGGTGCACTGTAGCACACTTTTCACCCAATGATGGCTGGAGGTCATTACATTTGCCTGTTCTTTCCCGTGTGTATTTTTCCCTCCTTTTAATGTGGCAAGTCTCAATGCAGTTGTGTTGGATATGAATGACATCTGCAGTAGAGATCATGACAGGGGCATAGCCATTCCAAGTCTGAGAATTCTTTGCATATCCCTATTTGCAGTGGGATCCTCAATCCCACTTTTTCCATTTTATTTTATTTATTAATGTGATGTGAGTGTTCCTAAATAGGCTGGCATTTATTTTCCATCCTAAATGATCGTTGAGAAGTGAGTATTGAGGTGCCTTTTTGAACTGTAGCAGCCCTTGTGGTGTAGGTACTTCTAAAATGTTAAGCATTTTGACCCAGTGATGTCAATCAAACAGTGATATATTTCCTAATCAGTGTGACTTAGAATGGAACTTTTGCGTGATAGTGCTTGCATGTGCTCAATAAATTTATTCTTCTGGACAATAGATGTTGTGAGTCTGAGAGGTTTTAAAGGAACATTGCCTACCTGTTTCGGTTCGTAGTGTATTGAAGCCATGTATACATTGGTTTGGTGGGTGATTGTTAAGGTGGTGAATGAGCCCCAAATTGAGCAAACTTCTTTGCCTTGGATCATGTGGAGCTTGTTGAGTGTTGTTGTGGCTTCACTTATTCAGACATGGATAGATGTCCATCACCCTCCTGGTTTGTGCCTTCTAAACAGCAAGAAGGTTGGGAAGTGAGTCATATCTTATCATATTTTATATTGCTTGTCCAATTCCATTTTTGATTCAGGGTGATCCCGTGGATGTTGTTGACTGCATCAAAGATGCTATTGCTGTTAAAAATCCAGACAGAATAACTAAATTCTCTATCAGTTTGGGGATAGTTATTTCTTAGATCATGTGACATGGCATAGCACATGGACTATATAAATCTCTGATCCTGCTTATTCTCCAAGTCTTGCTGCACATAGGCATGATCTGCTTTAACTGAGGAGTTGCAAATGGGACTGGGCACTGTGAAGTAATTAAAGGGAAGTTCATTGATGAAGCAGTAGGTGGACATAGGACAGAACCCTAAGGAACTTCTGCAGTGATTTTGTGGAGCTGTCATGGTTGACCTGCAACAGCCACAGTCATCTTGCTCTATCCTGAACATGACTCAGCCAATGGAGGTTTTTTATTTTATTCCCATTCAGTTTTACAACAGCTCCTGGATAGTTGGTCAAGTGCTAACTTAATATTTAGGGCAGAAATAGAACTGTAGAGTCACAGAACATTGAAACAGACCCTTTGGTCCAACCAGTCGATGTCAACCATGCTCCCAAACTAAACTAGTCCACCCTGCCTGCGCTTGGCCCAAATACCTCCAAACCTTTCCTATTCACGTACTTACCCAAATGTCTTTTAAACGTGGTAATTACACCTGTATCCGCCACTTTCTCTGGCAGTTCATTCCAAACACAAACCACCCTCAATGTAAAACAAAGTTGCCCGTCCTGTCCATTTTAAATCTTTCTCCTCTCGCCTCCTTTAATTCGGGTTCTTTGTGTTGAACATCATTGATTTATTACATTTCAGAGATCTCTTCAGGACTAGAAATTTTGCCGAGACATTTTGATTTCGATTTTTAACATTTCATATTACTTTGCTCTTTGTCAGCAACTTGTAGTATGATTGTTTTGGATAGTATTCATACTCACTTCCTGCAGCTTAAAAGCACAACTTTAATTTAATCTGTTTATTCATTATCAATTAATGTTTGACTTTTTCACTTGTAGGACAAAAAGTATCTTTATGCAGGGTCTCATTCTGGTGTTGTTCAAGCCCCTGTTGCTTTTTGTGAAAAGTATAAAACCTGCATGGATTGCATTTTGGCAAGAGATCCCTATTGTGCCTGGAACACTGGAAGCAAAATCTGTGCCTGGATTACGGAAAATTATACCGATAAGAGGTCCGTGTATTTCGCACAAAATGTATTTAAATTTGTATAGCTATGTTACCATCTCATGGGATTTCCTAAGGTGTCAGTGTTCAGTTTTTAATGTTTACCATTGTCCTGCAATGCAACCTTTGTATGACATTATTATCATCTAGCAAAATTAGTGAAGTAGTATGCCATATGGCAAACTCAGAGACACCTTATTACTTGCCTACTGCTGAAAGATTCAGGCCTTGGTATATTTGAAATACAGGTTATCTAACATTCAATGTCATCTATCCCAGAATCACCACCTAGTTGATTATAAATCAACGTTGTTTCATAGACTTTATTGACTTAAAAAAATCTAATAACCAAAATTATGTTGCAAAATGAGAGTTGATAGCATTGAAAAATCATTTGAGTTAAGTGATTTTTGAATGAGGAGAGACCGGTGGATTATGCACTATCTTTTTGCTCCTTTTCATAATGGATTTTTAGTGTGTGTTTAGGATGCAATTGCTTCTTATCTTCTTCTAACCAAAAATCCTTTTTTTTTGCATGGTTGATTTTTTTTTTCTCAACCTTAAGCTGCTCCTATGGATTTGAATCTACTTGAACCTACCTTTTCATTGCTAAGAGAAGTTTTCATTGCTGCTGCACAAACGCTCAGTATGCATGATCAAAGCCTGGCTTATTGACCTCACACTACAGTTACATTCAATAATAAACTGCTTCACAGACGTTTACGTGGCAGATGAATTTAGCATGGAAACGTGACAGATGACACACTTTGGTAGAAGGAACATGGAGAGACAATACAGAGACAAGGGCACGATTCTAAACAGTGTGCAGGAACAGAGAGACCTTGGTGTATATGTAGAAATCATCAAAGGTGGCAAGGTAGCGAGCTGTTAAAGCAAATAATATTCTAGGTTCGTTAATAGTGGCATAGAGTATGAGAGGTTAGGCTGAACTAATACAGGACAATGATCATGTACTTTTATGGGTGCGACACTGTAGGAATGATGTGAATGTATTAGAGCGACTGCGGAAGTGTTTTATGAGAATGGTTCCAGGGATGACCTACTTCAGTTACAAGAATAGATTGGAGAAGTTTGGACTGCTCCTCTCTGAGAGGAGAAGGCCAAGGTGAGATTTGATAGAAGCCTTCAAAATGATGAAGGGTCTGTCAGAGTAGATGGGAAAAATCTGTGCTTATAAAGGATTACAAACCAGAGGGTACAGTTTAAAAGTGTTTTATGAAAGAAGCAAATGCAAGGTGAGAAAAGTTTTCATAGAGTGAGTGTTTCAAGTTTGGAATGTATTGTCTGGAATTACAGTGAAGATGGAATCAACTGATGCTTTCAAGAGGGCATAGGATGACCACTTAAAGAGAAACAATGTGCAGTTTTGTAGGGAAAAGTGCCAAATTCTTGCATAAATTAAAATTCTCCTAAAGCCAGTGCACACCCAATGGACTAAATGATCGCCTCCTATACTGTAACAATTCTGTGATTTTTGTGACTGTGAATATTGTTATTTCACAAGAGCAGAATGATATTATCTGTCTTACCCTTTCCTCCACTGCATCCTAAATTGAACCTGAAACTCTTCAGCGTTTTCCTGCCTGGTTGTCTTTATTGTGCAGTTTAGATGCTATGGTTCAACAGGAGCAGGGTTATCCACAAGTCCAAAGATGAAACGCTCTGTCTCTGGATTTGTCAGGAATAGTTAGATGTTTCTGAGCACAAATTAAATGTTCTGTTTAGCTCCCAGCTCAAAATAAAAGGGATGAATTGTGTGGCGAAAATCTTCTCCTGAAATTTCTAGCATAAATGCTCAATTATGTTTTCCTCTTAAATTATTAAGCATTCACTCTGTTTCAGTCAATAGTCATCTCCATTTAATCAGAATGCTGTGGAGTCAAGCCCACACCAGAGACTTAAGCACATAACCTAAATGAATCTCTCTTGAACAATACTGAATGTATTTTTCGATTGACGTGTGGTACCATATTCCCTTACTGGTAGATAGAAAAGATTCTGCAACATTATTTAAAGAAAAGCATGGAGTTTTGCCTGGTGGCCCGGCAGAATTTACTCCTCAACCACAGTCACAAAACAGGTCATTTAGTCATATCAGGTTCCTATTTGTGGGATCTTGCGGTGTGCTAATTAGCTGAAACACTATCCAGATCACAACAGCAATTATATTTCAAATGTACTGAATTGGCAGTGCTTTGGGATGTTCATTGGTTGTGAAAGGCAATTTATAAATGTTTGTTTTTATTTGAATATAAATGTGAAGCCCAAGGAAATGAAGGCTTTGGCATGTGACATGCTGGATGAACGACTTGATAATTGCATAGATCTATTTGTACTACTTTCTTCCCTAAATATTATAACCAGATATCGATTATTAGCAACTACTAATTATTGATCTGAATTATTTTCTTTCCACAGCAATTTGATACAGAATCTGAATGGATTTGAAGTTCCTTGCAGAGCTGAAGATGGTATGTGGACAAATTTTGATGCTTATGATGAATATATTCTCCTAATCAATCTGTTCAGTGATGTTATTGCACACCTCTGGAGCAGGTGGGACTTGAATCTGGATGTTCTAGGTCAGATTTAGGAACACTGACACTGAACCCAAGAGCCCAATGCTCGTGATGAATACCTTTCAAAACTGATGAATTCTGGAACCACCAGTAATGGTGATACTTAAAATAGTAGATATTTTCCAAGCAATCTGTCCAGACAAGTTTTCATATACCACTGGAGCATGTGCAACATGAATCCAGACTTCTATCTACTGTGGTGGTTTTGGGCCCATGTCCCATGTCTCTGGATTTGTAGTCCAGCATTAGTACACTACTGTATTATCTCCCCACTTGCTGCTCATGATGAAAGATATTTTTAATCCAACTGGTCAGATATGTTATGACCTCTGGAGCAGGTGGGACTTGAAAGCGGGTCTCTCTGGCTCAAGTGTAGGGATATTTCCATTGCCCCACTTGAGCCCCCCGACTGCTACTGAAGAATTTATTTTCAAATCAGCCTGATCAGAGATGCTACTTCACACCTTTGGAGCAGGTGGGACTTGAACGCAGGCCTCCTTGTCCAGAGGTAGGGACACTAGCACTTTGCTACAAGAGCTCTACTGCTCATGAGGAACTGAATGTACTTTCATCGTCACCAGCTAGACAGATCAGAAAGTAATCTGCCAGTGAAATTGATGCTGGCAGCCAGATTAGCTTTTCACCAACATTTTTGCGAAACATTCTAGAAACCTACATTTGGATATCAGACGAATTAAGTCTTAGTGTTCTAAAAATGCAGTCTTAACAAATGAATCAGTTTGTATCACTGGTCTTGTGCGTCAAGAGCTAGGTGATCTGGATGACCTATGTCTGCAATGACTGTGACGAACTAATCAAGTATGGAGCAGCAGCGTAAACTAAAATTACATTTAAGTAACATATAGAAAATTCTGATGTTGCAATGACATGAAACCTTGGAGCATTGGAATAATATATCTATATGAGATGGTCATCTAATATATTAAATTGCTTCAGTTCTTGTAGTGAAGGTTCATCTGCAGTGCTGTTCGGAAGTGATTTGCAAAATTTTGACCCAGCAGCAGTGAAAGAATGGTAATAAAATTTGAGACAGAATAGTATATGGCTTGGAGGGGAATTTTCAGGTTGGAGTGTGCCCATATACCCGGTGCCCATGCTGTATCTATTGAAAGTTATGGGTTTGGAATCTGATGACTAAGAGGTTTGTTGAGTTGCTGCAGTGTATCTTGCAGAGCTGCATCTACAGTACAAAGGGACCTTGATGAGATGGGCCAAAGAGCCAAGGAGTGGCAAATGGAGTTTAATTTAGATAAATGTAAGGTGTTGCATTTTGGTAAGGCGAACCAAGGCAGGACTTACACAGTTAATGGTAGGGCCCTGGGGAGTGTTGTGGAACAAAGATACCTAGGAGTGTAGTCACAAGTAGACAGAGTGGTGAAGAAGGTGTTTGGCATACTTGCCTTCATTGCTCATAACATTGAGTATAGGATTTGGGATGTCATGTTTCAGCTGTATAGGACATTGGTGAGGCCACTTTTGGAATACTGCGTACAATTCTGGTCACCCTTCTGTAGGAAGGATGTTGTTAAACTTGAGAGGATGCAAAAAATATTTACAACGATGTTGCTGACACTGGAGGGTTCAAGCTGCAGGGAGAGGCTGAATAGGCTGTCGCTTTTTTCTCTCACGCATCAGGAACTGAGGGGTGACCTTGTAGAGATTTGTAAAATCATGAGGGGCATGGATAGGGTGATAGGTAAAATCTTTTTCCTAAGGTGGGGAGCTTCAACCTAGAGGGCAAAGATTTAAGGTGAGAGAGGAATGACTTAAAAAGGACCTGAGAGGTAAATTTTTCATGCATAGGGTGGTGCACATATGGAATGAGCTGCTAGTGGAATACTGGAGGCAGGTGAAGTTATGACATTTAAAAGGCATCTGGATGGGTATATGAATAGGAAGAGTTTAAAGGGATAACAAGGTGTAGAGCCGAATGAACACAGCAGGCCAAGCAGCATCAGAGGAGCAGGAAGGCTGACGTTTCGGGCATAGACCCTTTTCTGAAGAAGGGTCTAGGCCCGAAACGTCAGCCGTCCTGCTCCTCTGATGCTGCTTGGCCTGCTGTGTTCATCCAGCTCTACACCTTGTTATCTCAGATTCTCCAGCATCTGCAGTTCCTACTATCTCTGAAAGAGTTTAAAGGGATATGGGCCAAATGCTGGCAAATGGGACTATGTCAGATTGGGATGTCTGGGTGGTGCGTTTCGGACCGAATGTTCCATTTCCATGTTGTATGACTCTATGACTCTAAGTGTATGTTTAAGGTAATGGATTGGGTGCCAGTCAAGCTGCACGCATTCAGCCAAATGGAGACACCTGACCTGTATCTTTTAAATGGGGCCAGGATTTGGGGAAATGGGAAATGAGTTATTCACTGCATGAACAGGGTAGATGCTTAAACAGGGTAAATGCAAGAAGGATATTCTTAATGTATGGGGATTCAAGAACCAGAGCTCTTAGTCTTAGGATAAAGTGTAGCTTAGGAATTTCTTCACTTGGAGAATGGTAAGACCCTGCAACTGGAAATGTTGAGGCCAAATATTGAAAACTTTCAAGAAAGATGTAGATAGACTTATTAGGACTAAAGGGATCAAAGGATATATGAAGAAAGTGGAAATGATGTGCTGTATTGGAAGATCAACCATGATCATATTGAATGGTGGATCAGGCTCAAAGGATCAAATGACCTACTCATGCTCCTATTTTCTATGTTTCAATCAAAGGGTGATTGAGTCAGAAACTCTCATAGCATTTAATTAGTATTTAGATGTTCACTTTTGTTTCCATAACCTCCAGGGCTATGGGCCAAGAGCTGGAAAATGAGATTTGTGTAATCAGATTTCTGTTTTCCAGCATAGAGATGATGGGCCAAATGGCATCCCTTGTGAAGATACAACTTAATGGCTTATGAGGTTATTTCAGATGTCACCTGTCACTTATTACCAGCATTCCCTCTAAGCCATTTGGCAGTGCAAATGCACAGCTGCCCCTATGTTCCATGCACAGCAATTGGTGCACTGACTCTGATCATGGCATTGTTTTCCAGTTCCGGAAATTGTTGTGTGCTCAAACCTTGTGTGCAGGACCACGCTGAGAGAAAACAGAATTCAGGGGAGCACTGCTTACCACTGCTGTTGCTCATGTCTTGTTTCATGTGAATGGTTGTAAGTGGAACTGGACACTGCAATAATCAATAGACATCCCCACTTATGAAATTACATTAGAGCGAAGGTCATTGAAGATAGTTGGGCCTAGAGCACTGACCTGAGGGGCCGATGTAGCAATTTCCTGGGCCTGAGATGATTGGATTTGAAAACACACAAGTGACTTCCTTTGTGCTAGTTATGTCTCCGACCAGTTGGTGAGGTTTTCTCCAATTCCTATTGACTTCAGTTTTGCTGGGCTCCTTGATGCTACAGTCAGTTGGTTGTTGTCTTGGTTGCAAGGACCAAATTTATAATGCGATGTGCAGCTAAGAGGTTCTTGAGGAACCCAAAGTGCACATTTGTGAGGACATTGTTGCTGTGTAAGTGCCACTAGGAAACTGTCCTTCTGTCATTTGCTGATGTTTGAGAGATTTGTCCTAGTTTTTTAAACAGGGCATACCTTGGCAATTTTCCATGTTTTAGGGTAGATGATAGTGTCGTAGATATACGCGAGCAGATCAGCTTAGGGTGTAGCTATTTCTGGAGCATGAATCCCGGTTCACTACTGATGTGATCAGCGCCCATAATCTTGGCTATGTTCAGATTTTTCTTGATATCACGTGGAGTGAATTGGCTGAATACTCTCATCTGTGATGTTGAGCATCTCCGGAGGAGACCGACATGGATTATCCACTTGACACTTCTGACTGACATACTGGGTTTTGTCATCATTCTGAAGGGGGATATTTGTGGAGCCTTCTGTAGTGGCGGACAATTAACCAACTGACCATTCATATATAAATGTGGCATTGAATTCGAACCCTGTGTTTCAAATGTAATCCTGACTGCCTGTGAACTAATTGGCTTTCCAATGAGAAGTAGGAAAAACTGTTAGTAAACTGATGCCCAGATTGTACTCAATTTCCAACTGGCCAATTTCAGAATAATACTTTGTGAAGACTCTGGAATAACTATTCCATTCAGTTACAGTTTGAGGATTGTTTGGGAATACCTGAAAGGTGGAGTCTCCCTTACAAAATAAAAAACACTTCAATTTTTTTTTCTGAGTAAAGAAAAATACTCCTCCTTCATTTTCACCTAAAATCTGTATTCAAATCATCGTATGTCGCTGGTGAATCAAAAAAATACGGTCCACTGGCAGAAATACCATGAAGAAAACTTCAAATTTGTGAACTTTTTTAAACAGAAATATCATACATGTATAGGCTTATAATGTAGCTGGAGTAATCCAACAAGGAGTGTCTATTTTGATGTTTTTGAATATGAAAACTAGTGAAATCACGATTAGTGAAATACTTGAATTTCTATTAGAATAATGGCCAAAATGATAAATTGGTGATTCTTCAAAAGTAACTATACATAGATTTGATCTTCTACCTTTTAATATTTGGACGTAGTATTCTCATTCCACAGTCAATTTAGTCTCTAATCCCAGTCTTGTCTAAACCTTATGCACTGATAAGCCCAGAAAACAAGTTTGACAATGAAAAATAGGTTATGGTGAAGGCAGGTGAGAAAATGAAGAGAAACTATAATGTGGGATGAACATTTTAAAATTTTGCAATTCTTCATATTTTAATTTCTCAGCTCATTTAAGGCATTTGTTGGAGGAACATGACAATAAATGTGCTTAATACAATAGTTTGATATAATTGTATTTCAATTTATAATCAGCCATGATGCAATTTACTAGATTACAATAAAAAAAATTCCACGTTCTTATTTATATATGCATAATACTGAAAATCTTTAAGCCAATACATTGGTAAACTTTTAATATTGAAATTGTCCGTTGTGGCTGTACTTTCAAAAAAGCAATTTATCAGTCCTGACCAGGTTAATAAAATTCTGCGTTTTTTCTTCTATATTGTATTTTATAGTGGAATCTGCAATATCTGAAGAACATCAAATGGATCCAGGAGGATTTAAAGAATTGAAATGCCTCCCTATGTCTCAACTGGCTAAAGTTATATGGAAGTTAAATAACAATACTCTCAGTGAGAATTCAAAATACCGACTTGTTCAAAACAATTTGCTGATTTTTTCTGTAAATGAAGATGATTCTGGTACCTATGATTGCTGGGCAGTAGAATCTGTGAAAGGACGCCTGTATGAACAGCTGGTGCAAAAGTATTCTCTGATCGTAAAGGGTCCATCTAAAGTTGTAACAACCTCCCCAACTACACCATTTACCAAAATGGAAGGTAATTCTGCATCAACTCAGACAAGCACAGATAAAGAGTGGAGGTCTTCTCACACTGTCACACCCCAGATTCAAACTGATATGACCACTTCAACTGTGCCATATGCTTCAGTTTCCACATCCTCAATCCCTCCACTTCCAAATTCAGCAGTAGACACTCAAGCTATCAGTGAGCCTTCAACTGCAGGAAGTAATGATAGGGTTCTGTTATCTTTACTTGTGGTGATTACGCTTCTTTTCCTAATCCTATTTTGTTACAATTGTTACATGAAATACTTGCCGGCTCCTTGCCTGAAACTACGTCTACGTATAGTCGGTAATGAAAAGAAACCAGAATTTGATTATGATGTGTCTGAGGAACTGGTAAAGCATCAGGCAGTGAAAATCAATTCAGATAATCCAGGTAGAGAGCAGATTGCTGCTGGTGACAAGGGTTATGAAACTGAGTCAGACTGTGGGAATGGCAAAATTCCAAGTTCAGAGAAACCTCAAGAGCTCAAGCAAATTCAAGAAAACCATTCGATTGGTTTGATTGATGCAGAGAAAGATGCAGATATTCTTGACATTAAATTCATTGATGAGGAAGTTCAGAGTCTTTGCTAGCATATTTTTTGTATTCCTTATAGGTTTATTAAAGTTAAACTGGTTGCAAGCGTGAGTCCAGAAAGTTAGGGAAAAGAAAAAATCATGTAAAACTTTGAAAGGTTTTTAGTAGATAAAAGTACTTGGTAAATGATGTTAAAAACGAATATCAATCCCATGTTCAACCTGCATTATATTCAGCAATCTCAATAGTTTTCATGTGCTCAATATACAGGTCATTTGAGTTTCATTCCAAATTGGAAATTAATAATTTATCAAATTGGTAAATCTCAAAGTGCTGTCCAAATTGGAGCAAATCTTTTTTGCATATACTGTATATATGGTATTTTATATTGCACTGAAAATTTGCGTAATGTTCTGTTAGAAATTGTATTTTGTTGCTGCATCTAATGTAGGTTGATGCCTTTGTTTATGCTAACAGTGTACAGCAACTCAGGGATCAAACAATGAACAGTAGATATGTGTGTTCTTTAGCTTGTGTCTTGAGAATAAGAGTTGACAAAAGGCTATATGTGATACAAACTTTAGATACTTTAGATTATAATATGTATGTGCTATAGTAAAACATGGGGTCCATAAAAATGTGATTGAGTTGTAATACATTTTAAAAGGAAAAGCAAACATTTTTAATATGCTGTTACTGAGCCATGCCGCAACAGAGTGCTTAGTTGCAAAGACTTTTCATACTTGTGGAAGACTTTTGATACTCAGCAGAGCACAGTACCACCTGTAGCCACATTGCCACAGAGATTAATTTTCCAACCAATGTGGCAAGGGACAAAATCATATGCTGTGGACATATATTAATATTTTGGTTGGCTACATCCTTGGAAAAAGTGAATTCTTACCGGCTGTGAAATTGTTGATGTTTGAGACTGGATTGTTGATTCAGTGGACTTTAGTAAGACTAACAAAGCCAACATTGGAACCTGTGTTTTGCTGCTATAGATGTTCAGTCATTTTGTAACCCACTGAACTGCTATTTAGAACAAGACCCACTGGTGCAATTAACAGGCTTTTTAATCTACCATTGCTATGGCGGCACTGTACATTTATATTAAGTTTATGCATGGCAAGTCATTTCATTCTGTTTTCTGGCATCTTTATTTGTTACTGTGTATATAAGCAAAAACAGGTTCATTTTGAAATTACTTTATTCAAAAAAGTGTCAAAAGGTTTTATATAGAGCTATATTTTAGGGAAATTGGCGCATTCCATGTGGTACATTTAGTGATACAAGTCATTTCTTCGATTGTAAAGGAAATTGTGTATAAAATAACATTTCTCTTAATTGTGTAAAAAGAAATTAAAGCCAGCAAAAACGCCCTGTACAGAAATATTTTAGACCACTGAAAATTTAATTGAGCCTTGTGAGTTTTTCTGTGTCTACCTTGCAATGCCAAAATTTTACGTACTCCTTTAAATACCACTACTATGCTTGACTCAATCTATTGCTTTTTTTTTTTATCCCTTTAACGCATAATCTATCTTACTTGTGTCTTTAGAACTCTGTTCAGTTTGTACCTTTCTGTCTCACAGCTTCTCCTGTTTTACCTTTCACTCCTATTGGTCCCTCCTCCACCTCTTGGGCCTGGTCCATCTCCTCCCTTTGCTATTACCCCACCACAAGGGTCTTCTCATGATTGGTCCAGTACAGACAGTACAGTGGTTCAGCTGTTACCACCACTGCTGAGCGACCAGATACTTAATGTGTGTAGCCCTGGATCTGTTCACCTCTTCTGTCAAGCTATTGGTGAGTGAACATCTGCTAACAGGAGTAATTAATCTTTCTCTTTATTAAGTGGGAGCAGGGGTAGAGGCAAAACTAGCCACTTTAAATACAGTGAAGCAACTTTCCTTCTTTTTACAAAGGAAGAATGCTTTACATGTGGTAATAGTGAATTTCTGTAAACTTCTCCAAGTTCAGAGCCAGTCTCTGATATCCCGTTAGAATCTTTTTACTTTATAATAATGTATACTGAGCTCATCTGGGACCTAGAAAGACTTTTTCTTTTTTATATCTTTCACTTAATTTGATATATGTGGTACTACACTTTTTTTTAGTAAGTGGATATGTATATTAATTACTTTTGATTTATAAGCTGAAATAGTTTGTTTTTAAAGAGAATTGCACAATAAAATTTACATCAACAATCCACTGTACTTTTACTTTGCAGTATAAATGTGCATATATTGTGACCATTGTTCAAAATGATGCAAAAGTTAGGTAATTGTGATATTTCTAGTACATTGTTGAATGGTATTGTTTATTGCACACCTCCCATGTTGCTCGAATTGCAGCACCTTTCATATTACATGCAGTTAATAGATTATGGGGTGAATTCCCTCAGGACTTGTCTCATTCAGTCAATGTAGACTTGATTGAACTTTGATGGAAATCTGCTTAAACATATAAATGGGATTTCAGCTGGAGTTTTAACGATGAAGTAGGAGAAGCCCCAAAGAAGATTGTTTCTCTCTGGCAATCTGACAAAGAATATTAATCTCTGATGATGGGATTACTGTTTATTAAGAGCACAAAAATAATTGCTGACAGATTCAAATTTGAACCTTGGTCCTTACCAAGATTGACACTCAATATAGTTCTAATAGTATACTATCTTTAAATGAAATCAATTAATTAACTTAATAACCGTTACTTAATTGTGCGTGTTCTGGCTGAAGTGAAAATCCACTTTACCTCTGCTACTTGTTGACTTTTATCATATTAAAAAACAACTTGCTTTCCAAACTGAATTTGATGTTTTCATCTTACTTTTAGGGGCAGAGTGATATAATGTATTTCCTGGCACATTGCTTTTTGATTGGAAAAGAAGAACAGTTACCAACAATTGAGAAACATGATTGGAGTTCCTTTTATGCAGGAAATCAGTTTGATCCTTGTTACACAATGATAACCTGTGGCCCGTATTATCCTGCCCAGTGCTGAATGATCAGATGAAACCTTTAGAGACAAGAAAGTAATTGACAACAGATCTTCTTGGCACTGGAAATCGATCAATATAAGTGCAATAGATTAACAACATTAACAATTTACTGGGAATTCAATTTCTATTGAGAGCTAGTTAAAATGACTAAATGTGAATTTGGAACAATTGTTTTAGAGGGTGCAAAAATATTTCATGGTTCATAAATGGATTCTGTGACTAGGAAAGTACAAATTTGTTAATTATATGCAAGGCTTGAATACATAGACACCCATTACTTGAGCAATGGTTTTTGTCTGTTGCTGCTACACGTCTTTCTATAATTACTTCTACTGATGTGGGACAGCGTACTCCTGTGTTCATAGCTACATTTTCAAAACATTAGTCAGGTGCAATTAGATGAAAAACAATGTTTTCTTGCATTCAGTTACATCCTGCTCTTATCTTCCTTATATCATTTTTCTAAGTTGATACCGCATAAAATAGTCAAGCATCCAAGAAACAGGAAAGCTGACATTTCAGGTCGAGAAGAGGGGTCCCAACCTGAAACATCAGCTTTCCTCCTCCTCTGATGCTGCCTGGCCTACTGTGTTCCTCCAGCTCCACACTATGTTATCTCGGACACCAGCATCGACAGTTCTTACTATCTCAAGCATCCAAGTTGGTTTGAGCTTACATACTTGTTAAACGATACAAATCTTGTGTAATTTGTATTTGATATATATCATTCTTGAATGATGAACCTCGAGCTTCTTAAGTTGAAACTAATTTATTATCACTTTCCATTTAATATATTAAGAGGTGAGTTTCCTTGTGACTTTCCTCACTCAGCTATTGCAGCCTTGGCTGAACTTTAGAAATCTGCTTGCATGTATCAGCAGGGTTTCAGCTAAAGCTATGGCAGTGGAGCAAGAAAAAAATTGCTTAGAAAGTTGTTGTGTTAGGTAAGCCATACAGTGACTTGCAGTATAATATTTTTAATATACTGTATCTCTGAACCTAGACTCTTAAATTATGTCACCCAGAGCTCAGAAGAAGTACCATTGTGGGGAACAACCTGAGGCACTCTGAAACCACCTGCATTCAATAGAATTAATACTGTGTGGTCGTTTAATATTCAATTAATAAATAATGATTTGCATTTTGAACACAGATGTTTTCTAATGCAAATTACTGCCGGATTTTTCTGTTGGATCATTAGATAGGGGTAGCATGGTGGCTCAGTGGTTAGCACTGCTGCCTCACAGTACCAGGGACCCAAATTCCATTCCATCCTCGGATGACTGTCGGTCTCTGTGGGGTTTGCGTGTTCTCTCCGTGGCTGTGCGGTTTCCTCCTACATTCCAAAGACGTGCAGTTTAGATGGATTGGCTATGGGAAATTGTTCTATAGTGTCCAGGGATGTGCAGGCTAGGTGGCTTAGCCATGGGAAATGCAGGGTCACCGGAGTAGGGGCGTAGGTCAGGTGGGATGCTGTTCGGAGGGTCAGTGTGGAATCGATGAGCCAAATGGCTCGCTTCTACATTGTAGGGTTTCTCTGATTTTCTATGATGATGGTAGAGGTGATAGCCCCATGTGTTTGATGATGTTGGGAAGACAGTTTAGCTGTTTGGTCTTGTGCCTGCAGCGATGTTTTTATTAAGCCTAGCTGAGATCTAAGAATTCTCCCACTCCAGATTACTAACCATGCATCCATGTGCTGCATCTGAAAATAATTTTCCTGCACTGTATCTTGCCTTTTGTTTTGGCATTTCTTCATTCTTCACTGTGGGTTGTATTTCTGCATCCCACTTTGTTCCTGTGACCAAGTATATCATGCAACACAGCTTCAGTTTCAACTTCAGGGTGAAACGCCTTCTGTTACTTCTCTGTTCAGATTATTTTATTCTGAAGGTAATGGAATTACCATACCAACCTGTCCTTCGGAACATTTAATCTCCACATTTTAACACTGAGGGCACCATACTGTGAATACAAAATCCTACCAATTACATCCAAAAGCTTTAAACGAAGCAGATAATGTCTTAATACGAATATTGCAATTTTTATGAAATTCATCCATAGGATTGTAGGAAGAGTTTTCGATTTAGGTGCCTAGTTTAAGTAGCCTTGGCACATTGACCAGCGTCTCAACAATGGAGCATTACTTTGTTTTCTTGAATAGCATTCTAATTGGCCTATATAAAAGTCTAATTTTTTAATACTACAGCTACTGTGAATTTTATGATCTGTTTGCTAACTTATAATAATATTTTGAGATGCATTTGAGCATCTGATCAAAAGTGAGAAGCCAGTGTTTGTTAATTTAGCAGAAGAATGGAGTAAAGTGGCATATGTTACTGTCAGCAGGAATTATGCTGGCTTCACATAGTTTTACAGTATGCTTGCATCACAAAAAATGGCATACATTGAAATCAAATATCTCCCCTTAGTGCTAATCTCTTACTTTATCCCATTGACAGTAATATTTCTGAAATTGCTGGCATTGAATTAATCACTAACCATTGTCCTCTGTTGCATTTGAATTAATGAAACAGTTGCCTTGCGGAGAGTTCCAAAAATGTAATTAGAAAAGCCCATCTGGCCCAATTAACATGCTTTTTCCATTGGTCTCAGCTTCATCTTATTTCTCCTCCACTGGCTATGGTATCATATGTCATCATTTAATGAGCTTATTCACAAGAAATCACTCCTTTTATTAGAAAATGCAAATAAACTACTGTCAGATGCATGGTATATATTGTGGTTAGTTTGCATATTAGTTCCAAATAAAAGTTCTTAAAATGGACTGCACTTTAAGTTAAGATCTCATCATTTCCTAAATTTGCAGCAATGCATTTTGAAAAAACCTGACCTCAGAGGACTGTTGATGGATTAGTTTGCTTTTTGTACAAGTGAGACATTTCCAAAGATGCTAATCATGACATGTTTTTAAGTTAGTATGTCAGAGTTTTTGCTTTTCTATAGATTTTCTCCTTTGTCTCCATGCCTGGATTTCATACTATCTTGACAATGTCATAATATCCTGTTGTGAATGGTAAACCTCGTGTTTGGTTGTCAGGGACAGCATCTCATTTCCAGAGCAAAAACAGAAGTTGCTGGAAAAGTTGAGTTAACATTTTTGTGACCCTTCCTGTTCTGAGGAATGGTCACTGGACCCAAAACGTTAACTCTGATTTTTCTTCACAGATGCTGCCAGACCTGCTGAGCTTTTCCAGCAACTTCTGTTTTTGTTCCTGATCTCCAGCATCCACAGTTCTTTCAGTTCTCATTTCCAGAGCAATTACTGAATGACAGTCCAAAATGTTTGACTATCAATTGTATTATTATTATTTATTGTTTTTAGATGTAGTTTAAAACAGATTTGGTTTCAAATTGGTAATTTTAGAGGGGAATATTGAATGTGTCATGTTGCATGTTTTCCAGTGAAGTTACTTATGCAGGTTGTCGCTCCATTTTTGAGAGAGCTCCGCATTTCTGTGAGGTGAATCTTTTCAGAGCTTCTTCAAAGGTGCAAAGCTGTTCCTGCATTCAGTCAGTTCCTTTGTATTTCTTTACTGTCAGAGGAAGGCCAACCACATCCCTTTTTCACTGCCTGTATTCTGAAATGTTTAATGCCCAGACAATCGCTTTGACAGCTTCTGCGGTAAGTATATGTTAGACTACTGGGGATGGTAGCGTGCCAGCTGGCTAAGCTGCTGGGGTAGAACGCCAGATGAGTAAGAAGTAGAAACAGAAGTAGGCTATTCAGCCCATCAACTCTGCTCCAGTATTCAGTAAGATTGTGGCTGATCTGATAATCCTC